GGTTTGAGGGTAGGGACAAAATAAATTGATTTTTTCAACAAAAAAAAATTATAATTTGAAATTGGAAGAAAGTTTTGGAAAATGTTTTCCATAAGTTTTGAAGGGAAGTCATTTTCCTTAAATTTGAGGAAAATGAGTTGATTTGGAAAATATTTTCCAAAACATTTAACCCCAACCAAGCATGAGAAAATTGGAAAATATTTTCCGGAAAATTTTTTCCTTCCTACCAAACACACCCTTAATTCACATTTTAATTTTGTATCCACTATGATGAGCATTTGGGTAAAGGCTAACCCATAAAACGACATTAACTCACCATAACGGAAACCCAAAGAGTCCATAAGCGCTTTATTGCATATGACAATTCACAGAGTCAAAGGTCCAATGGTGCCAAACTGAAAGGGCTTCTTCTCATTCATCCTTTCAGGTACAGCTCCTTGCTACACACTTTTATCTTAGATGGAACAACAAACAAAGATAACCTGACAAGTATCGGGTTACCAGAATAAACAAAAGATAATGTGGAAGCGAAATTATTAAGATTAAAGACTGAAATTGAAAGATATGTGGAATTTGATAATAAAATCTCCAAATTTCTAGAGAGGTGCTAAGAACCCTAATTGATATTAGATTCAAAATTAGCGGATTAAAACTAATTATAATACTAATAGAGTCGATTTTCAAAAACTTAGATCAAAAGTGATCTAGAGCCCTATTCCGAATAAACTAGAGATAATAATTAGTATGAGACTAATTACCTTCTTTAATTTACAAATAAGAACCAAAGATATCAAGTTAAGGAATTAATATTACCTCTTAAGACATTCTTATAAGGTTGTAAGATAAATCTCAAGTAGTCATACAGAAAAATGTAAAGAAGAGAAACTCTCAATTAATAATAATGTTGTCTGCCTTAAAATAATAAAACCAACCCCTATATATAGGGAAAACATATCCCACATAGAATGAGATTCAATTCCTACTTTTATGGAAACTTTAAGCTAGGACAACTTTAAACTAGAAAAATTTTAAACTTGGAAAACTTTAAACTAGGAAACTTTTAAATTAGGAAACTTTAAAATAAAGAACTTTTTAAACTAGGAAACTTAACTTTAATCGTTCAGCTTTTTAGACTCTCTTGTTGGGCTTCATGGGCCCAATCTTCTTCCATTTAGGCTTGAACTTGAATGATAAAATATGTGTAGTACCTACTCCCTTCTTCTCCCCTATTTTTGGACTCGTTCTTGCGATTTTCTTCCATGATTTGCCATTGAAGCCCAATGATCATGGCTTGCAACTCATTCTCTTAAGAACGTGGTGGTTTTCTTAGGGTTTCTATAGCCTCATCTGTGTACATGGAGCTAGCATCCTCCTCTTCTTTGAAAGAATTTATCCTTGAATTAGATCCTACAACAAACTAGGACAAGTCAGCAACATTGAAAGTAACACTTACTTGATACTCACCAGGCAAATCAAATTTGTAAGCACCGTCTTCAATTCGCTCGAGAACTTTGAAAGGTCCTTCACCTCTAGGATGCAATTTAGACTTCCTTTTGGAGGGAAAGCGTTCTTTACGCATGTGAATCAAAACTAAGTCCCCAGGCGCAAAAATGATTTGCTTTCTCCCTTTGTTTCCTCTCAAGGAAACTTGTTTATTCCATATTTCAATGGCAAATTTAGTCTGCCAAGGTATCTTCCTCATCATCTCAACTTTATTATTTCCATCAAGACTAGCAATATCATTAGTAGGAGTTGGCACTAAATCAAGAGGAGTAAACGATTAAAACCATAAACAACTTCAAAAGGAGAAGACCTAGTAGAAGAATAAATAGTTCTATTATAAGCAAATTCCACCAAAGGCAAGTGACTCTCCCAAGAAGTTAATTTACCCTTCAAAACAACCATTAACATGTTCCCTAAAGTTCTATTCACCACCCCAATTTGCCCATTAGTTTGTGGATGACAAGAAGTAGAAAATAACAATTTGGTCCCTACCCTTCCTCAAAGAACATGCCAAAAGTGACTTAAAAACTAAACATCCTTATCACTAACAATAGTTCTAGGTATGACATGTAACTTCACTACCTCCTTAACAAATATATCAGCCACATGAAAAGCATCATTAGTTTTCAAGCATGGAATGAAGCGAGCCATCTTGGAGAATCCATCCACCACAACAAAGACATTATCCTTGTCATTCTTCATTTTTCATTACACCTAAGACAAAATCCATAGAAATATCTATCCAAGGTGAAATTGGAACAACAATGGAGTATACAACCTATGTGGTAAGATCCTAGATTTAGCATGTTTAGCTTTTAAACATTATGCATAATTTTTTCTACATCCTTGCTCATGCCAGTCTAAAAGAATTTTTCAGCAAGTATATCTATGGTTTTTTGTAACACCCCGTATCCGAAACAGACCAAAAATGCAGATTTTGAGAAGTTGCAGGTGCAACCCACGGTTGCCATCCACGGACCGTAAGTCAGACCACGGCCCGTGCTGGTGGTCCGTGGTTCACCACTGCAACCCCTCCCTAAATCAGCTCAAAAAATTGGCTAAGTCCCGACTCACGGACAGACCCACGGTCCGTTGATCAGACCACGGTCCGTGGTCTGTGTCCGTGGATTGAGACCTCCTTTACCCAGCCTCTGACACAAACTACGGTCGACCAGCACGGACCGTCAATCGATCCACGGTCCGTAGGTCTGACTGTAAGTTAGGGTCAGCAGCCAGTTAGCTAAAAACTATTGATGGGTCAACTTCAGATGGTCATAACTTTTA